CAGAAGTCTTTAACTGCCCCGCACACTCGCCACACGTGGCAGTTTTACCTTGATCAGGCAGTCTACCAGGATCAAACGGTCCATTACGACCAAGCCGTCCATATTGTCCGGCAATAGATTCTGACCATTTGAACGGGAGAGAACTTAAGTCCTGTGTGTGCCTTGCTTTCTTAAGTTGATTTAGTCTTCTAGTATAATATTACTTGTCGCCAAGTAATTCTTGAAGCTATAGCAGTGTTGTGTGGCCTGTGGCTATTATTAGGCAGTGTTGAAATCTGTGATAGTGTTTTTTCCTACATTTTGTAAGTTGGGTTTTGATATTTTATACATTAAATATTTTATCTAGTTTAACCTTGTGTTCTGCCACAACTGTGTTCGCTTATTAAAGGTTGTATGCAGATTGGATGAGTGTTAATTACAATAGTATCACTAGTTTTCCCTAGACATCGAATTCGAGCCCTAGTGTGTCGTTGTGTTAGTGTTCATCCATTTAGGCCGTAAGGCATTTGCATATAACCCCGAAAAAAGAATCCGGGGACGTTCACCTTCTATCTGGCTGATAGATAGGTAAGCGTTACAATGCCCTTTCATATTAAGAAAAGACAAACTGTTAACATAAATACCCAAATGCTCCACTATTTTTAGCAGATGATAATTTCATTGTGTAATATTGTCCACGGACAGATGAACAGCTAAATGTTTATTAAATTAGAAAACTAATGAATAATTTATTGTAATTCATGTTTTGTATACAATCCCAAAGCTTAAGCACGATTGGCCAAACTGTAATTTCTTTTACCTCCATTTATTCAAAAACAATCAATAATTATAGACATAGATACAATGATTATTGAATAGATTATAAAGCACAAGGAGATATTTGATTATAAAGCACGATGACTAACTTTAACTGTATATTAAATCAGGAGCAGTTCTACCATTCATACATGAAGCACAACTGCAATACGAACTAGTAGGTACTAGCGCCTGTAACTGTGCACAATAACACGCCAAACTCGAGTCTTACATTCTTAACACCACAGCTCCACAACACAGGTCAACAAAACACACCTACACACACCTACACACACAAACACAAAGTACCAAACATCTTGTAAGATGCATAAAACATGTATTCACCATCTTTTGTGTCTAGTGTATTTAGACACAGTTTTATACATGGGTTATTTGTTTTCTATTTCGTCAAGCATTATAAAGGGGATCTAACTGTGGTGGCCTTTATTAAAATAACTCACTATCCGTATGCACACCCTTTAGAATTATATAAAAAATAATAAACATGATTGGTGTTACTTAATCTTATTATAAGCCAACTTAACTAATATTTTAAAATTGACATTTATATTGTTTTTGACTTATTATAAGAAATCCACAACTTATACTGTATTTTTTTTTTTGGAATTCGAACTCTGTCATGTTAAATTAACTAAATGAAGAAAAAAAAACATCCTAATATATAAAAGTCCTTGTGCGCACTTCTCTCTCTCTGTCCTCGAAATATTTTCACAGGTTATGATATCAGTATCTGCAGCGATATATGGAGAACGTGATACGGGCTTTTGTTGAAAATAATATGTTATCAACAATATTTTATTTAGAGAATACAAATAAAGGTATATTCGAAAGTAGAAAACCAATTTTAATTATGCAACCGGAAAAAATCTTTATTTTTGTGACAAGAACGAAATGAACAATGACGTCACATGCCAAATGTTTACACTAAGGAAAGAACACAAAGCTAATGGCGTCACTTCCGATTTTAGAATGTAATGAAATGAACAATTTCATTCAAAGTTGATTTAGATATACGTACGCTATGAAATGTATACAATACAATTTTCTCAGACTAAACTTATTAAATTTACTTGATCCATTTGGATTCTAGATTTAGATTAGATCTAGAGATTCTAGATCTAGAGAACAAGTCTCGAGTTCAAACCCACTGGCAGATAAATCTCGATCCCCTTCAACACTATTAACAATTAAGAACGAAGAAGAAGAAGAAGATCTACGGAAAAACTAGATTCTAGATAGATCTAGATCTAGACCCTATCTAGATTTAGAATCTATTCCAATAATACATTTCTATACTAAACTATTTGAGGCCTTAATTATTTTATAGAAATCTTTGGTTGTTTAATTATGTAATTAGCTAATTTGGGATACAATTTATTTTGAAATAATAAGGCCCATTCGCATAAGTTAAGTTTCGTAAGTACCTCTTTTATTCTTCTTGAATCCTAAGGTGCCTGAATAGCATTTGATACCATGCGGTGGTACCGGTTCGGGACACACCAAGTCAATCTTAATTTTTTATTTTTTTTTATATCTGAATGATACAGTTGCTTATCGGGACTTGGTGGGACACGCGGCAGGTGAAGTAGAGTTCGCCTGTTTCTTTCCTTTCAGCAAAATTAGGGATAGTGTGGTCAGACCCATGCTCAGCCGAAGTAGGTGTTTTTAAAAGACAAAAATAACATAACTACTAATGAAATCTTTTAAGTCTCTTAATTTTAAGTCTCTTAATCAGCGAGTAAATTTAATATGGTATTGTTTTGACTAGTGCTGTATATAATTTTGTTTTAATTTTTCTAATAGGTATTGGTAGTCTATGTTATTTTAAACAAGTATAAACATAGACAGTACTTAAAACAAAAACCCTTTTTTATAATATTAACAATGTTTCATTCTAATGCTTTTGATCAATAAAATGTTTATTTTCCTAAGTTTCAGATAATGATTTTTTAAAAGCTGAATTACAATTAATTTCATTACTCACTTGCCGTAGGTATATATATTTTCTTCAGGCATCTCTACCGTTTCTTCCCTTTCACCTATGAAGGAAATTGAAAAAAGTAATTCATAAAAAATATAGAAAAACCTGTATCCGCTAGCCCCCCCCCCCCCCCCCCGCACATACATCCCCCACACCCTCCACCGGACAGTTTTAAATGCCGCTCCCCGGTGATAAATATCTAATAGAAAAACCGGGTAGCCTATTTGTAAAGAGAAGAGAGCTGAAAGTCACCAGAATTGCTTGTGCAACGGGTACCGATGGCTAGTGAATATATATAAAGAGATAGAGACGCCACGTGATTTGGGTAGAGAGACTTATCGCAGGACAGACATATTGAGATTGAAGCCTAAAATGGCATTGTGTACCACGTGATAAGTCGCTCACACCTCGCTTGAATGATAATAATATGAGAGTATCACTGTGACAACAGAAAATTGACATCAAAATTTGCCGAACTGAAAACTTAAACATGCACTTACATGGTTTAACCATAACAGTTATGATCCCTTTTAGCGTTACTCAAAACATATCTAGATATTTTAGTTTTACATTTTGGCCAACAGTTTTTCAAAATAAGCCACCAAAATCAATGTATCCATTGGTAATTCATTCCATTTTTTTATGCAAGGATTGACATGTTCCTAAGGTAACCTTAAAATCTACTTCATCTTTCTTTGTTTATATGTTCGACCATGTTACTTCCCTGTTATATGAGTTATATTACGTGTGTTCCAAGAACTCTAGTCCACTTTAACCAAGAGTCTACATCTACTGTGGTGGTGTCAAACTCTTCAAGCGGAACGACAAGCACAACTGCTGAAACGTGTGTCAATAGCTCTAACGTCAGAGGTGCATCAAACAGTAAGTCGCCACTGTTTATTTGCATTTTTTATAAATACTAAAATTTCATCTTGATTTTATTTAGCATCATAACATGTATGTAACTTAGAGTTTATACAGTAGTTGTTCTTAACCTGGGTTTGATCTCAGGGCTTCAGCGGAGGTCAAGGCACACACCTGACTCAAATGATTGATTCAAGATCAGATGTTGTCAGTGTGGACGATACAACTTTTAAAAAGGGTTTGGTGAATGCGCCCACCCCCGCCCCACCTCTATACCATCTTGGACAAAGTTGGTAGAGCTGGTTTTAACGTAATTAACATTTTTTTTAAAAATGTTACACAATCGAACAATACGCTTTAGAACAATAATAATTAGTCTCTTTTCTAAGTGATAAAGGTTATCTACTCACCAATCCAGTGTAAATCCTTGCTACTTTACTTGGCGAAAATGCACGCCACCCTGCAGGTAGAAACAGTTAAATCAGTATATAAAGCTTGCAGCCATTAAACTTCGTAATTTAGACTACTTATAATTCAAAACTTCAGCATAAAATCAGCTTTTACATTTTTTGCCCACCCCTTTTGACGCCTACCAAGGACCGGCGCCCGTGCGGCATCCCGCCTCCCCAAATCCAAGCTACGCCTCCGCATACATACGCATTCATTTTGTATAGGTTGCCCATGCCCGTTGATGTAAGGGCATTCAACCATTTGGATTCTCCAGATCTCTTGCAGATATCTAAAAATAAAATGTTAGCTCTATTAATAAAAAAAAAAATATATGAATATAACATTGTCGAATAGCGTTGCTGTATTTGTGTTGTTAAAAAATATGGTTACTTTTTTTAACATGGAGAATATATATATATATATATATATATATATATATATATATATATATATATATATATATATATATATATATATATACATATATATATATATATACAAAATCAGAACAACTTGTTTAAAAAACAAAAATACATTTATACAAAACAAACACAAATGTTCCTTATAATTAACACATAGACCTAGTAATTATTTGGTTATTATTAGTGTGAAGGTGGATGCTTGTGTTTTCCGTCTATTTGTGAGGACGTGATTATAGGTTTTAGTTAATGTTATGATAGGAGCATATTTTGTTTTATGTTTTAAGGTTATGTTTCAGACTAATTTAATTGTCTGTCAGTTTCGTCTTGCATGTCATATAGAATAGGGCTAGAATTTCCAAGACTGTATTTTAAATATACAATTTACGATCGTTTGGTACGCCCGATCCTCTTATATGCCGGTACAATTGGTACATATTTTACGATAAACGGATGTGTTTCAAAGAGTCTTACAGTACGTAATCTAAGCCACCATTCCATCCCCTCTAGGCGTAACCAGGACGTGTTAGCAAATGTTGTTTGTGTCTGCGACATGTTAAACGCAGAAAGCAACAAGTGCTGAAAAGTTTGCCAATATTTCTATCGACAACTTTCAAGTAACTAAAAAGTAAGTTAATACAACTGTTTTTTTTTTAAATACATAACTAAACTGTTATTATAATCTACTTTTTTTTTACAAACTATTTTATTTATCTGTAACGGACACCTATCTACCAGCCAGATAGATGGTGAACGCCCCCGGATTCTTTCTTGGGGTTATATGCAAATGACTTAAAGCCTAAATGAATGAACACTAACTCAACAACACACTAGGGCTCGATTTCGATGTCTAGGGAAAACTAGTGAAACTATTGAAGTTAACAACTCATTCAATCTGCATACAACCTTTAATAAGCGAACACAGTTGTGGCAGATCACAAGGTTAAACAAGATAAAATATTTAGTTTAGAAAATAACAAAACCCAACTTACAAAGCGTAAGAAAAAATACTATCACAGATTCTAACACTGTATAAAAATAGCCACAGGTCACATAACACTGCTATAGCATCAAGAATTACTTGGCCGCAAGTAATATAATACTAGAATACCTAAACAACTTAAGAATGCATAGCACACTCAGGACTTAAGTTCTCTCACGTTCAAATGGTCAGAATGGATTGCCGGACAAAATGGACGGCCTGGTCAAGGTGGACTGCCTGGTCAGAACGGACTGCCTCGTGCTGCCTGTGGGCGATCTAGTTATAGACTTAGGCAACAGGGGAGGTTACCCTCACCTCATGTGGCCATTGGTTGGGGTGGTCATCTGGTCTGAATCAATCAATCAGATCTTGATGGAAAATTTCTGAGTCTTAGACACTCTAAGTAAGACAGTGGAAAAAACCCGGTTGTTGCACCATCGACCATATATGGTATCATGACAATGTCAAAATAAAACATTAGTAGACCTAAGTAGGTCAAATCCCCTCCCTTTTTGGAAGTGACAGATAGGTTCCACAAAAACATACATAAGGAACCAATCTGGCAATGAAATAAAAAAATGCTTTACAAATGTAGCCAATCAAAATCTTAATACCAGATGAAAAAAAAACCCGGAAACAAAAGGGAAGTAACTCAAACTTTTACAATTTGTGAAAGGGGAGTAACCCTTCAAAAAATAATAATACATCCAAATCCCTCAGAAAGGGGTATTACAATATTTCCATGTGGATATTAAGAGTGGTAAACCCGACAGGGTAAAACCTTTATTTCAATGACTAGCTACAATATCAACTGAGTCATATGAGACATATTATCATAAAAGATTACATATAATCAAAAACCACCTTTAATTAAGGTTCACCTGAAAATAAACAAAATATTCAACATGATTGTCATTTTGAAAAAAATTCAAAACTCATACCACTCACATTCATGTGAGTGTCACCTAAACAAAACACTTGTGTATGGTCCTAATGAACCACAAAACATGTCACATGATCAATGTGTGTAATAAGATTTTACATCCTTGACAAACAATCAGCCACAACATTATCAATACCCTTAATGTGGGAAATTTCCAGATTAAAATTTTGGAAATATAAACACCATCTCAATATTCTATGATTCTTTTGTCCTAACTTAGAGGTAAATTTCAGGGGATCATGGTCAGAAAACACTCTGACTGGATTGGTTGAAGAAGTGACATAGACTTCAAAATGTTGTAAGGACAAAACCAAAGCTAAAGCTTCCTTTTCAATAGTAGAGTAATTCTTTTGATTCTCATTTAACTTCCTGGAAAAAAAGCAATTGGATGGTCAATCCCCATGTTGTCTTCTTGAAATAAGACTGAGCCAATGGCTAAGTTGCTAGCATCAATGGCAAGTTTAAAGGGCTTGCTGAAATCTGGTGCAGCCATAACAGGAGCATTAGATAAAAATGACTTAATGGTTAAAAAAGCTTCATGACATTTAGTTGACCATTCAAACTCAACACCCTTTTTCAATAATGCAGTAAGAGGTTCAGCAACAGCTGAAAAGTTTTGACAGAACCGCCTATAGTAACCAGCCATCCCAAGGAACTTTTTGATTTCTTTACAATTTTTGGGAGGAGGTAACTTTACAATAGCATCTACTTTAGCTTCAATGGGCCTAACTTGGTTCGTTCCCACTTGATAACCCAAATAGGTAATTGAACCTTTACAGAAATCACTTTTATGCAGGTTTACAGTAAAATTAACTTCAGACAATTTTCTAAAAAGGTTAGCCAACTGAACAATATGTTCTTCAAAAGTATTAGAAAATACAACTATATCATCTATGTAGGCCTCACATTGGTCTATGTCAGCAATGACAGAGTTAATGACCCGCTGGAAAGTTTGACCAGCATTTCGCATACCAAAGGGCATACGTTTGTATCTATAAAAACCATTAGGGGTTACAAAAGCAGATATTTCTTTTGCACGGTCAGATAAGGGGATTTGCCAGTATCCTGAAAGTAAATCAATTTTGGAAATTATCTTAGCTTGACCAACTTTATCAATAACGTCTTCTATTCGAGGTAATGGATAGGAATCAGCTTTGGTGAGCGCATTTACCTTCCTAAAGTCGGTCACAAACCTGAAAGATCCACCGTCTTTCGGGACTAGAAGACATGGGGAACTCCAGTTGCTGAAACTGGGTTCAATGATATCATTCTTGAGCATATAATCAATTTCATCTTTTATCAAAACAGCTTTTTCCGGGTTAACTCTATAGGGGTGTTGTTTGATGGGTTTTGCATCACCTACGTCTACATCATGAGGTGGAACCTTCGCTTCTTTGGGGACATCCCCAAAAATAGAGGGAAATGTCTCAAATAACTGAGACAATCTATGGCTTTCCTCTGTGGACAAATGCATAAGGATGTCATTTAGATGATCTAAAAAGGAAGAGTTTACCAATTTTGGGGGTTTCAATTTATCATGTATCACATCATCAGAAACATTTGAACATACAGGTAAAGTAATTTTAGCGGTGGATTGAAAATTGTTACAATTATCACAATACTTTTTCAGTGAGTTAACATGATACACTGTCTGTTTCTTTCTTCTGTCTGGCGTATTGACAACATAGTTCAAATCACTTAATTTTGAATGCACAGTAAAGGGTCCACAATATCTTAAGGATAACGCATTGTTCAGATTAGGCACTAGCACAAGAACTTTCTCGCCTGGATTGAATGTTCGTTTACGAGAACTCTTATCATACAGTCCTTTCATTCTCACTGGGGCTTTCTTAAGTTCTTGTGAGCCATTTCGCACACGGCTTTCAGTCGAACGTGAAAATCGTCAAAGTTTTCCACTGGATGATCACTGGTACCTGTCCAACGCTCGTGGATCAGCTTCAGGGGACCACGGACAGAATGTCCAAACACAAGCTGAAAAGGAGAGTAACCTAAAGCTTCCTGGACACAGTCTCTCGCGGCGAAAATAATCCATGGAACAGTCTCATCCCATTGGGTGTTACTTTTAGCGAATGTTCTTAGCATGGATTTTAGGGTCTGGTGGAACCTCTCAAGTACGCCTTGAGACTGAGGGTGGTAGGCTGAGCTGGTGATGTGGGTAACGCCTAGCTTGGCTAGCGCTTCCTGAAAATTGTGACTGGTGAAGTTGCTGCCTTGATCTGTTTGAACGATTCTAGGTAATCCAAAGGTAGTGAAGAACCGGGTCATGGCTCTGACTACAGTCTTTGCCTTAATGTTCCGTAAGGGGAACGCCTCGGGAAAACGGGTACTTGAACACATAAAAGTAAGTAGGTACTCGTTGCCCGCCTTGGTTTTAGGCAAGGGACCTACACAGTCCATGACGATTTTAGAAAAGGGTTCTTCTAATACAGGAATCGGACTCAAAGGGGCCTTAGGAATTTTCTGGTTTGGCTTTCCGGCCAACTGACAGTTCGAGCAAATTTTGCAGTAACGCGACACATCATTTCTCATTTTGGGCCAAAAGAACAGTTCTTTGATCTTCGCCGTCGTTTTAGTGACTCCTGGGTGCGCTGACATTGGATGGTCATGTGCCAGTTTCAGTATTTCATGCCGATAAGGTGGAGGGACCCACAGCTGGTTTTTACCCAACCATGGTTCGGCAGGTGAGGCATCCACTGGTACAGAGCGACGAAAGAAGAGGCCGTTCTCGGAGAAATATTCCCCATCGTCAGATGAGAGAGATTTTTCGACCATTGCTTTGAGTTCCGCGTCGACTTGTTGAGCTTTAATGATGTCTTCCTGAGATATCCTCAGGGGTAAGCCCAGGCTTGTGTTCTCTGGAAGCATAGACTCCAGTTCGGGAGTCGAATTTCTTGACGATGATGGTAGGTGTGGTTCAGACGTTGTGTCAGCCAATTGTTTGGTCTGGCTTCTTGTCACCACACATGCAGGATACAGTTCATTATCATTATCTGGAACTGTTGACAAAGGGTTTTGAACCGTACAGGGGTATACTTTGCTTCCTGCGAGGTCATTCCCAAGAAGTAGGTGTACTCCTGGGACAGGAATACTATCTATCACACCTAAAATGACTTCGCCTTCGACGAGATGATGTTTCAGGGAAAACTTGTGTAGAGGGACTACAGTAGATTTTGTCCCCACTCCCTGGATAATGGAAACATTTCCGGTGTTCGTCTCCGGTGTAATGTCCATTGAACTTTTCAAAAGAAGTGACTGTGACGCTCCTGTGTCTCTTAGGACGGTGATATTCCGCTGAGACAACGGATCACCTGGTTTGCTAATGACGGCCTCTGTAATGAAAGATGAAAAGTCAACCTTTCTCGATCCCTCGAGATCGGTAGACTCGGAAGAAACTGGATGGTGGCGTGAACAGTCAAAATGTGACTGCACATAATGTGTGGAGACTTGACTGACTTCTTGCGGACACTTAGGGTTAGCGTCCCTCAGAATTCTAGAGTTCATATTTGAACCGGCAGCTTGAGGTGATAGAGCATAGTGCGCAGAAGTACGCACCGCCTCTCTGTTAAATTGAAGACGTTTGTAGCAGTCCTTGACATGGTGACCAGGTCTTTTGCCGAACTGGCATACTGCTCGACGATTGAGAGTTGATCTTGGTTTCTCTCTGGACTGTAATGCCTTCAAGTGTTGGCCAACAGGACAATTGCTGCCAAAAAGGGGAAGCACGGGGTTGAGGCGGTTTCCTGACACTGGTGGTTTCTTATGCACCAACATATATGTGTCAGCCGACTCAGCAGCCTTCTGGATGTCAATTATCTTGTTATCCAGTATGTGTAGTCGTATGTCTTCAGGCAGGGACTTTAGGAATTCTTCCCTTAGGATAAGTGATCTGAGCCTCTCAAACTCAGAAACTTCCTCAGAGTGTAGCCACCTTGAGAAAATTTTCTCTTTTTCAAAGAGAAATTCCACATATGATTGAGTGGGTAACTTGCGGAGTGCTCGGAATTTTATCCGATAGGCCTCGGGCGTCAGTTCGTAGGCCTTCAAAATGGCAGTCTTGACCAAACTATAGTTATTTTGAACGTCGTGAGAGAGTGCCTGGTATGTTTTTGCAGCTTTCCCTGTAAGGACCGTGCTCAATAAAGCAGTAATGGAAGTTTCGGGCCATTCACATGTCTTCGCTAAACTCTCAAATGAGTTAAAGAAAACGACCAAATCTGTTTCATCAAATTTAGGAACTAATTTCCCAAATTTGGCAATCACTTGCCCCACCGACAACTTTTTTGGATCTACCAGAGAAGTGACATCTCCACTAACTTTACCAAATTCTAATTCCAACCTCCTCTTATCTAAAGCAATTTTAGCCTCTAACTCCTGTTCTTTTAAAGCCTTCTCTAAAGCAACTTTCTCCTTCTCTAAAGTAACTTTCTCCTTCTCTAAAGCAATTCTAGTTTCTAATTCTACCTCCTCTAGAGGTTTCTCCTCCCGGAGTATCACCCCAGCCAACAAACTTTCATCAAATACACCTTCATTAATAAAATGAACAACAATTTTATCTCTCAACACCTCTGATTTCTGCGTAACAGAATAATCCAATTTCAATTCCTTAACAACACTAATCAAAACTTTCCTACTCAACTTCTCTACCTCCTCAACGGTGGGATTAGACAAAAAAGATTCCATAACACTAACTTCAAAATCACAACAAGCCTAGATTCTCTAAATTAACACGGCCCAACGCTGCGTCATGAACTTGACCTCTTCAATCTAGGACGTGACACGTCTGGCTTTTGACCTAGATAACTCTAGCCTTGCGCGCGTTTTAATAACACGGCTCCACTGGATAGAAAAACAACTAAATCAAACTAAACTTAGTGTTTAACTGATACAACCAACAACTGGAACGACAGATTAAATCCCGTACGGGCCCCCACTTTGTAACGGACACCTATCTACCAGCCAGATAGGTGGTGAACGCCCCCGGATTCTTTCTTGGGGTTATATGCAAATGACTTAAAGCCTAAATGAATGAACACTAACTCAACAACACACTAGGGCTCGATTTCGATGTCTAGGGAAAACTAGTGAAACTATTGAAGTTAACAACTCATTCAATCTGCATACAACCTTTAATAAGCGAACACAGTTGTGGCAGATCACAAGGTTAATCAAGATAAAATATTTAGTTTAGAAAATAACAAAACCCAACTTACAAAGCGTAAGAAAAAATACTATCACAGATTCTAACACTGTATAAAAATAGCCACAGGTCACATAACACTGCTATAGCATCAAGAATCACTTGGCCGCAAGTAATATAATACTAGAATACCTAAACAACTTAAGAATGCATAGCACACTCAGGACTTAAGTTCTCTCACGTTCAAATGGTCAGAATGGATTGCCGGACAAAATGGACGGCCTGGTCAAGGTGGACTGCCTGGTCAGAACGGACTGCCTCGTGCTGCCTGTGGGCGATCTAGTTATAGACTTAGGCAACAGGGGAGGTTACCCTCACCTCATGTGGCCATTGGTTGGGGTGGTCATCTGGTCTGAATCAATCAATCAGATCTTGATGGAAAATTTCTGAGTCTTAGACACTCTAAGTAAGACAGTGGAAAAAACCCGGTTGTTGCACCATCGACCATATATGGTATCATGACAATGTCAAAATAAAACATTAGTAGACCTAAGTAGGTCACATATCTGTGAACTAAACTTTTCTTTAATATGTCGGGTGAGCATGTTCGAGACTGTAATGGCGAAAAGGATGCTAAGCGTACAGTGTTTTTAAAAATAGGCGATTACAACAAAGCTATATCAGTTTCGTGAAAGTTTAACATAGAAATATCGGATGTGCACTTTGTAAATATCCTAATTCTTGTTTACACTTGGTATACAGTCATAGAGTTTGAGCGGCTATTGGTGTCGGTGTATTTTACTTATTGGGACGGTGATATTAAATGTTAGAGATTACTGTATCGATTAGTGTTGTTTTATGTTTATAGTTGGGGTTGACGTTTAGATTATGTTTAAAGTAAGATCAGATTATATGTATAATTTATAAATTAGTATTAATATTTTTAAAAATCTGGTTTTGAAGTAATACTTTCATATTCTCTGATTCATCTTGAGATAGATAAAACAAAATATATTTACAAGGGCATGAGAAGAAAAAAACCCCAGAAAGATCAATGTTAAGCTAGTTAGCTGTGCACTAAATAGGACAAAAGAAACAAACGATTGAGTTAAAGAATGTTTATAGCAGACAAATAATTTTTTCCACAGTTACAGCATGCATTTTTATAGCATACAGATATTTTTGCACACAGTTAAAGAATATATGTTTATTTATATAGCATACAAATTATTTTTCCAACAGTTAAAGAATACATGTTTATAGCATACAGATATTTTTCACACAGTATTTGTTTATGTTTATAGCATATAAATATTTTTCCCACAGTTAAAGCATATTTGTTTATGTTTAAAGCATCTACATATTTTCCCATTAACACTATCACAAGAACCAGCCATGGACCAAAAGCTGTTGATTGGACCAGGTATTATAGCTATAGGCCTACTCCTGCACACTGTTGGTCAAGCTACGCCATATTGGGATAGTTTCGTTTATGATGACTCGTCTGTCAACTTGGGCTTGTGGGAAGTCTGCAATACGTTTGGGTGTAATAAAATACAAATGAACAGCCCAAGTAAGTAAAAGTTTTATACTTAAATGAATATGGATGCCGTACGTTTAGTAAGAGACTTGCTAGAACACCTTTTGCACGGGAATTTGTCCTAGACAAATTTATTGCCCATGGCCAATTAACGTTTAATATTATAAAAATTTATATTATAAGATAAGGTAGTAGAAACGTGCACACTAATTATCTGTAATGTAAATTCCAGGGTGTTGCTACAGTTTTGAAATTAAATATACTATACAAATATAGTACATATAAACATAAGAAAACAAAATGTATACAATGTAACATTCTAAATTAAGCGATGAACATTAAAATCGAAACAGTTCATTTAATCTGAATGAATTGTAATACACTTTAAACAGCGAGTCTGTATGCATTTAAAACCAAACACAACACAGAGACTGTAACTGTCCCAATATAAATGTTACCACAGTCCTGACGCCCCTCTACCACGCCAGCAGAGCTTTCGCCATCATGGGAGTTCTGTCCGGAGCTGCAGCGGTTCTCACGATATTTCTCTACGTGTTTCAAGTCAAGCTCATCTACGTCAAAATATCCGCAGCTTTGGGGGCTGCATCTGGTGAATTGACATTCCAACATTTTTATAGGCCCATTTCGTTATATGATAAGCCTAGACAAATTTAGAAGAAAATTAGTGGATGAAGTAAATTAAAACATATTTTTAAGTATTAGCTTAAAGTATATAAAAGAAATCATTACACTTTTATCGTGAATTCATTCGACATAAGTAAAAGTTATATAGTAAAACGATGTAAATAACCCTCCCTTCTTAACACTATTTTTTTCATCAATATTTTTCAGGTGTGTTGATCGCTATATGCGCCATTGTGTGGTTTGTGTATGCAGTTGATATGTATCCAGTGAATGTGTTCGGTTACTCGTTTATCCTTAGCTGTGTGGGGTCGGTTTTGTCGATCAAAGGCAGTATCGCCAGCTACGTGATGGTCAGGAGACACCATCGCTTTGGTTATGCGACCATCGTCTCTCCTTAGTAGGGTCTTGTTAGGAGATTAACATTTCTAACTAGTTAGGTTTTAGCTGTTTCTTTCATGTTAGGTTTTAGCTGTTTCTTTCATGTTAGGTTTTAGCTGTTTCTTTCATGTTAGGTTTTAGCTGTTTCTTTCATGTTAGGTTTTAGCTGTTTCTTTCATGTTAGGTTTTAGCTTTTTCTGTCATGTTACGCTTGGCTGATGTTGTAATTTATGGTATGCCATGAAGCAACTGTCGCTTGGCATGTTTACATGGGCGAAAGATGTGTGTCCCTATCTATCATGAGCCCAATAAGTTCAATCATATTTACCTTCATTTAAATTAGCTAATAAATCGTTTTCTGAATATAAAGTTTATTTTTTTAGAAAGTCTGTTTCTTCTATTTTTATATTTTGTTTTAATAAAAACAAAATGAACACACTTGTTTTTCTAGAACGAGTTAATCTAATCCCCCCGCCCCAACACACCACACCCTTCTCGGGTAGTTTTTGGTTATTTTTTCCCACGTTTTCTTTAACTTGCTTTCTCTGTTTGTTTTTCCAATCAAATCTTGCGATCGAAATTTCTGGCACTTATCAGTTAGCTAGCGCGCTGAAATTTTCAGTGAAGCTTTCTTTTGGATGACCATAGAATATTCAATTGTTATTATTACTAAATTGATCAATGGAAACATTTTATTGAGCATTTTAGACCGCTATATAATCTATATATATAATTCTCCTCTGCGAGCCATTAGAAAAAAAACGAGCGACGCGTAGCTCGCCTCTCTCTTGCCGCGCGCAGTGACGCGAACGATCCCACGTCGCGACAGGCTTAGGGGCAGATAATTTAGTTTGAACCGACTTTAAACTTACAGGAGGTAACTATTACCACTGGTGGCCAGTTTGGGGGAGACGATATGGTCGAGTGGTTGGGCACACGATTGCTATCCCACTCGACACGGGTTCAAATCTATGTGTTCTAGTCAGTAACCAGCCCTCGTCCTATCCGCTATCAACTAACCTCTGACAATCATTCACTTGCGATTGAGACCGAAGAAGAAAGGGTCTCTCGTTTTTTACGAGTTGTCTTTTTACGAGTTGTCTTCGTTTACCCAAAAAAAAAGTGAAAAGATAAAATCGATAGCAAGATTTCAATGCAAACAAACAGACAAAGACTAAAAAGTAGAAAATAATAATCATTAAAAAAGTTTAAAAAAACCCACGTTTTCTGATTGAACTAAAAAGTAGAAAATAAATACTATACATCACAATAATGCAAGCGATCACTCTTCTATAAGCGATGAAAAACGTGGGGCGCCGTGATTTTCTTACAGTTTCTAATACTGTTGACTCTCTACAAGCTCCCTAATAAAAGTCAATAGTATTATCTAATCAATAGTAATATAACTTTTACTTCGGCGCCCCACGTTTTTCATCGCTTATAGTAGAGTGATCGCTTGCATTATTGTGATGTATAGTATTTATTTTCTACTTTTTAGTTCAATCAGAAAACGTGGGTTTTTTAAAACTTTTTTAATGATTATTATTTAAAAATGTAATGATATTTAAAATGTTAATGCGCATTCTTATAAACTAACACACACAAAATCTATAAATGTAATTAAATAAACACGTTTAGAAGTGTGTTAAATGAGGAATCGATAGTTGAATAAGTAAATAATTGATTTAGGACAAACAAAAAAAAACCACGGATACAATAAGTCAGTACAATAGCTACACCGTTTCCTTACAATCAGTTATAAAGCAAATCTGCATTTCAGTTTTTTAAAACGGTATTATTAATATATCCCATGCCATGACATAAAGATATTTATTCAAATCAATCCGCCAAACAACACATACAAAGTTTCAAATCATATTATTGATATTTTATAAACTTAACATTCTGCAAAATTACTATAGCCTCGCCATGAATTATTACTTCACTAAAAACATTATACTAGCTACATTTTTATAAATAAATACCAGCACTCACCTCGTAAAACATCTACCAATCACACGGATATTTGCCTATAGCGTCTTTTTTTGCTTGCTGGAGCTTGAAATATCTAAAACAACTTATTTATTTTATTTTCGTCAAAGAATATTACTTTTACAAATCAGATATTTTAAAAATTAAGGGTAGAAGACAACAATAAGAAATAATAAAAAACGCACCCCAACCCGTACAACACCATAAACCACAAACCCAACCCCACATTACCCATTCCACACCCCCAACATTCCCCCTCTAATATTATTATTAACACGACACATTCCATTGCAACACATACCACAACCCTATTCCACCCCACTAACCCCGCTATCCAAACTCATCCTATACCATAAACACAATCCATCATACACCAAACAACACAAAAAAAAATACAACACATGGTTTAGATTAAAACATACAAATCAAACCCCACTAAACCCCCGTCAAAACTTCACGACATGCTCCGAACGTTACAACCTAACTACACAACGTACGCCCCACCCCGCAAAAATACAACAAACAAACATAACAAATTACAATGTACAATAAACCACACAGTCCACATCGCAAATCACGCTACCTTATATAGCACAAACCACACTTTAAACTACTAATTTCATATTACATACCAATCATTTATTCATCTCCATTCGCAACACACAACATCCTACTCTACTTTACACATGCATTGTGCAACAAACAACAGTCTACTCTACACAGTGGCGTAGCAAGGTCGGGTATCACCCGGTGCTGCACTTAATGGTGTCACCCCGCAATGGCGTAGCGACCCTTCCCGGAGAAAAAAAGTTTCGATTTGCACCCCCCCCCCCCAAGTTTTTCTCTATATATTTTGTTATTTTTTGCCTTTGTGTCACCCCCCCCCCCTAACTGGTGTCACCCGATGCGATCCGCACCCCCCGCACCCCCCCTCGCTACGCCTCTGACTCTACAATACATCTCACAACAAACAAGTCTACTCTACATATACATCCCACAACATAACAACAGGCTTCTCTACACATACATCCCACAACATAACAACAGGCTTCTCTACACATACATCCCACAACATAACAACAGGCTTCTCTACACATACATCCCACAACATAACAACAGGCTTCTCTACACATACATCCCACAACATAACAACAGCCTACTCTACACATAAATCACACAACAACACGCAGTAAATACAACCCAAACCCACCCCGTCCCGAACCAATTCACACCCACACCTCACGACACATAAACAGCAATACGAACAAAAGCCAACACAATCCCGCCACACACCTAACTTAAACCCCTAACCACCCCGCACCCCATTCTCTTGGCCACACTACCCCACCCCATACCCTAACCCGCAAGCATAACGACACCCACTAACCCAAGAACCTCATACAATCATTCAACTTAGACCATACACACTACTTCTCAATGCAACACACAACACACACATAAATCACACATCAACACGCTCCACGCGTATATCGAATACATGCACTTTACTGCGTGATCCAAATCTGTAAATAACACCGTATTATTATAGTAAAGTAGTAATATATACCGTGTCTATTGCATTTAGATATATTTAACCCTGCTATTAAAAGCGATAACAATATAACCGAAGTCTCTTACATCACTGTATTATCCAAATTGCTGTATCTATCATGTGTTTGTCATGCTGATATAGAGACCAAAACTATAACTCTGATGTTTGCATGAATCATAATGGTCTATTATGTCTAATTTAACAATCGCACTTTACGCTAACACCTAAATCGACAGGAATTATTTAAACAAATGTATATTATTCTATTGGATAACACAACTAACTACAATAAAAAAGTAGTTTTAGTCTATTCCTGGAATTCAATAATTTAACGTAACATTAATTAATGCAACGAGATTTAAAAAGTGAAGGTAAATATACTATACAACATGTTTGTTTCCTGTTTAATTATCTTCGCTGACGTAAACAATGAACAATTTGTTTAACTGAATGATATTATTCATAAAATTTAATTAAACTTTCCCTTCAACTAACAAAATAATCGGTGGGATTTTGAAAAAATAAATAACTAGTCTAAATATTCTTTACCTTTCATTTATTTCAATTAAGACCCGTAACATAATACTCAGTGCGTAGGAAAAGAATAAAAATGAGGGAGATCTAAATAAGTAAAAACTTAAATTGCAAAAATGTGTTTCCCGTTAAATTACAACCCCTGTCATAAAAGGTATACATAAAAAATGTATTATCGTTTTCATGTAACTGTTATACAAATGAGTTAATTACTTTCTGTCAATCTACACCAGACAATTATTCGACATTGAAACAAATTATACAATTTATCAAAGTGCATGTGCATACTATTTGCTTTATGCTCTTTGGTTGACGAATGGAAGAGGAATGCACGAAATTTGCCGTCAACCAAAAGAAACATTGCAGTACATTAAAGACCAGAATACTTTATTTGAAATAGACAGAAAATGTGTGACAGTTTTTTATCTCTATTTTACGCGTTGTTCCCCAAATAAATGGTACTTAAGTGATCCGATGTGATTGATGGCAGCAACTGGTGTTTCTATGAGAAAAAGACTCATTGTTCCAACATTGACGAAGAAAACGCTGCTATATCAATGACTGACGGAATGACACACTACCTAGCGGCGTGTATTATAGATCAGACTTATATTGACCACAGAGCAAAATCTATGGTATATTAAATTAGAAAGCTAATGAATATTGTAATTGATGTTTATCTATCATTTTATTTAAAGTTCCTTTAACTGAAGTTACCTTTACCTCCGTTCCTACACATAAAACTCAATAGATCATAGACTTATCAAGAGATATTAAAGTATGAGTCTGTACGAGGTTTTGCTTCGTTGAACCTATTGTTGAAGTGTTTTCGTGTTGAACAGTGCAGATATAAATGTAGGTGACTTTCACGATACAATAGTCAACCAGGATGTGTTCAGTTTAATGTGACATTTTTTATGTACATAGAACACTGTGCAAAACAATTGAGAACTGGGAAACATTTCAAGATAACAGTGCACAATATGTGTGGATATTGTCTTCAAAAAGAAGTCAAAGTGGGGTAGGGAAGGGGGAGGGGGTACACGAGCACCGGATGGCAATTTTTTTCGTAAGGGTGTCATAAGACTCACTGGATCTAACCCTAGTTCAGGTGTGGTCGCTTTACCTGTTTCCATTCAATGAAGAATAAACTACACATAAGCTTAAGTCTTTCACTTCCCCCTCCCAGTGTACATACCACTGCCATCACTGTCTGCAAGTGGATGAAAACACTAGCAGATGTAGCGAGACTTGATTACTCCAAAGACCATCTGTAAGTCTCAGGCAAATTCAACACAACAGACAGTCGTTATCAACATTTTATCACTCTGCTTACACCACGTTTGGGAGCTCAGATTTCTGTGTCTCTGTTAGATAATTTGTTGTGCCACTGTTTTCTGAAAGTTTTATTAACGCAAACGACAGAAGAAATACACAATAAGCTTATAACCACCTTACATCCTGTCGGTGTGTTTTCTATATGTAGCTTCTATTTATAGGCATGCACATTTTTATAATTTTTAACGGAATTTCCAAACAGAATTTTGTATTATTTCTTTATTGTTATTTTTAACTAAATGTTGGCAGAATCGATAATATGGCGATTATCAAGTAGGTTACAGGTACATAACCTATTCATTTTTTGTTACGTTATGTCTTGCAAGTGGTTGTTTCGTCTCATTTTATTATGTTTATCGTGGTTACGTCCCTTGAGTGTTCAGTCTGTTTAGGGTTAAGTGTTGCTGATGTTGACTTATGCAGCAGTTAAATAAAGACTAAGCTCTCTGTGTTTCAGAATAATGTACCACGGTTGACTCATACAACTGTGTTTGTTTAAGTTAGGTGATGTAACAATTATAATTACAATTTTTTTTCAATAGTGCCAAAAAAAAAAGAAAACTTTTATCCACATTAGATGACAGCCCTAACACACGTTCTCACATTATATTTATTCAGTCGGTACACCTATTTACATTCAACGATTGATGTGTTCCACGCAAGCCTAAGCATATAACTTCCTCCTACCAGTTTGATAACACTGGTTTTACCGCCCGTGTGGACGACATAACTGGCAGTGTAGCAAGCCGTATGCATTAAACTTATCTCTTTCAAGTCTCAGCCCATTTCAAGAAGCCAGACAGTAAGTTTTCACAATTTCAATGTATTGTTTACAACGTGTGTGTGAGTTATGTGTCTATTAATTCAGATTATTTGTTGTGTTCTTGCTGTCTTTAAGTGGTCAGTCAATAGATATTGCCACACTTTTAGAGGTTGCGGTAGGAAGGGGGGGGGGGAATTTTAGGAAAGGGACTCTTTGACCATAAAAGTTGATAACTCTATTTTAATCGTAATGATTGTATTGGTTAAACTGATATTCAGTCGTTATTTAACGTATTTAACATTACTACTCCATTGGTTTCCAGGCCATGCCACAAGTTGCTAACAATACCGGAAGGTTAATGGTTGGTTGGATAGCCATGTTTCTAGGATTAATCCTCCACATAGTCGGTCAGGCCATGCCCTACTGGTTCAGTAACTATCTCGATGAATCCCCTACAAACTTTGGATTATGGCAAATCTGCGATAATTTGAGCTGCTTTAGGATAGCAATCGACAGTGCAGGTAGGTAAATGTTTTCACAGTTTTGGCTATGCTATCTGCTATGTAAAAGTATTTAAATATTCACCTTAATACAGTGTCCTACATGTAACGTTGTGTTGCAATGGCTTGTATAGAAGACAGGGTAATGTAGGCGTCACACTTGCGATACAGCCGTAATAAATAATGTATGTGATGCGAGAAACAATACGCCAATCTAATAGATCGTAAATTAAATTCCATAGCTCTCTATACATTAAAGAATGAAGTAGAGTTTACCTGTTGCTAAACTTTTCTGAAGAATAAGTCTGACGAGAGCTTTGTCAACCCATCTGTACTAAACCCTGGAACATTCCAATCACTCATGTTACCTGTCTCTAAACTCACCTGGGCCAACTCTTTCAGTGTGCGCAGAGTTTCTTCCAGGCATCTCCCCCCCCCCCCCAACCCCCGAAAAAAGTCTACCCCCACCCCGAACGAAACGGAATGTATATAGAGAACATATACTTTCACCAGTGTCCACCCCCACCCTGGAACATGTTGACCGCCCCTCCCCCCCACCCGGAAATTTCAAGTGTACCCCCCACCCCATCGGAGAAAAAAGTCTGGAGGAAACACTGAGTATGTGGGGTTATAAATAATGACATTCGTGTTGGAAACATAAGCAATCACATTGAAAACTATTTAACATAATCATAATACAATGTTAACCTACCTACCAAATGTGTAGGCCTACATACATGTTTTCTCACATATCTTCAGTTAAAATGTTCTCACATACATTATATGACAGTCCTAACATTCAGCTACCATGTCTGTCGAGCTGCGGCAGTGATAGGAATCATATTAGGCATCACTGCTATGGTCATGATGTTTGTCTACGCGTTCAAGGAGCAACCCATCTACTCCTTGATATCGTCAGCTATTGGAGTCTTGTCTTGTAAGTACCCGTTGGTATTTGAATTTTAAAAGACGTATTCTATAAAATGGACACATGATTTCTTGTTGGTGTTAGATACTGTTTTTATTTACAACTTAGAAACATCTATTTCACGATAAAATCACATCATTTATTATGTTCATATCATAGTCATTTAGATCTTCCAGGTCATTTATAAAATAGAAATCAAACCTAAAATCTATTTTAAGCATAATTACTATTATAGATTATTTTAGTCTATTTTTCTTACTCGGTTGTTTTTGAAATAAACATTTAAACATTAAATTACACACTTATAGATATTTTTTCTTAAGTTCACTTGGTGATTTGATTTTTATCGTAAAAGCTAAATGAAAACTATTCCGCGTAAAAAAAAAAAGAGATTTTGTTTTTTACTCAATAGTGCAACTTTATGTGGGGGACACATACAATCAAAGAGACATGTGTTGTTTTTTCAGGCGTGTTCATCGCTGTGTGTGTCAGTGTGTGGGCGACACATGTGTTTGATACATACTTTACCAACTATGGCACCTCGTTCTACCTCAGTTTATCTGGGGGTGTTCTGTTGCTTAAAGGTAGCCTGTGGCTACTTCGTTTCTCTTTGGGACACTACCGTTGGGCATATCGGCCCATTGAATCATATTAGCCATATGGGATATTGCATATTATGGTAATGTAGCTACGTGCATTAGTCTATGATTTGATTTATTATAATTCTATATACATCGTAGCTACGTCATATAAATACTGTCTTCGATATTTTGTATTTATATTTCTGCTATATTTTTGCTTTTAATAAATGATGAAACATGTATAGTTACATTTAGTTTTATTGCAAAATAAAAGACGCATAATTGTTTTAAATAAAGATGTTAAATACTACTTGCAATAAAATGGTGTTATTTTTTTTAAATATAATCAATATGAGCCGCACCATGTGTTAATGGTGATTTATTGTGTGGGGCCATACACATATTATGTAATAAATGGTGAATACCTAATATTAGAAAGAACATCAGCTAGTCTGATAAGTGGAAATAAACCCAATTGGTATGGGATTAATGAAAAAAAATCTGTTTATTATTGATTACATAATGGTGTCCAATTAGTTACATCTGGAAAAAAAACAATGATGTTTTATATTTGACAGCAAACACCATGGTGTCTGATTATATACAACAAGCACATGATTTAGTGAAGGCGTTTTTTATTTGTTCTAGTAAAATATAAAACGATCACCATAACATAATATAATGAAGTTAGAAATGTGAAGTAGTAAAGTGATCTCATTGGAATTATGTTATATTGTACACGATTTCCTAAATTCATATTTTATGGAACTAATTTTAAATGTTTTCCTCCGTTTGTTTAGTCACTGCTGTAAACAACACATCTTCACCCCAATGCCACACCGTGTGTATATGTTATATAACATCAGTTGTACACAACAGCTTCATAAAACTAATCGAACGTAATATCGTCATGTTACACAACACACAAGTTGAAGTGTAGCCGCTATACCTGTAGGTAATATGATGCAGGTATGCTACACACAATCACAATCCTAAGCGTATTACTTCCCCCTTGTTTGTGTAGCTAGGACTGCCTGTAAAGTTCTTAAGTCGAAGACACGATTGACAAGTGAAGCAACTAAAAACTAGAAATACACCTGATAGAAGTGTACGTTTACACACCAGACAGTAAGTAGTAACAAAATATTTATTCTTTTACTTCAAAATCCGCTCCAAGGTCAGACTTACATAGAGTCTATTAACGAGCTAAATGTTTATTCTATTTTATGTTTTTATTTATTCGACTTCTGTTAAAAAAGAGCTCAGTCGGAGGTATTTTATTCAAAACTTGGATGTACGGGATCAGCTTAGTCATTACGACGAATTAGATACATAAGTGTACACATGTGATAAAGTGGAAAAAGTGAAATAGCAATCGCGATTCACACAATCATTTTATACGTTTAATACGTGAATACATTAATACCAGTATAGCATTTGCAGGACATGCCAGAACTGGCTACTATCAACTGCAGGCTACTGTTTGGGTGGGTAGCCATGTTTGCAGTTGTAGCACTCCAGATTACTCCAGATTTACCCCACTGGTCCATCTACACGGACGGATGCATTGGTTTATGGCAGATCTGTGACGCTGATAGTTGCCTTACACCGGCCATCGACAGCTCGGGTTAGCAAATGGTGTTTGTTACTTACTTAATATTGTGTTGTTTGTCTTGTGGAAAAATAGCGGTAATCATTTACCTTTGTATGACGCGACTAGTCAATGTTGTGTTGTAAAGTCCTGAACGTCCTATATGGCGATATGGCAGCGCTAAATATTGTTTGAACTATAGCAGTCAGTAGGTTTCATGTCATAGCCATCCACCAACAGACATAAAGTAGAGTTCATTCTTTCCTGGGTTATTTTTTTCTATTCCTATGGTATCTGAATGCTAAACTGGTCAGCCTTTTGACCTCGGCGTGTGAAAAATTAGAGTGGTGAGAGTATTATACCTAGCAATCTGAATTGAGGCACAAAAGCGAGAGTAGCTGTTAAAGAGTTGTAAGCTGTTTTAATTAGTTTATACAGCTTATATCGTTCTTATCATAGCAATATAAGAATAAGAAACATAAATATTGGAAAAGAGCAGAATAAGAATAATCCATTTAGAGAGATTACTGACTCTAACCTTGCCCTGTTCCTAAATTGTATATTAACGCTACCCTAATTTAATCCACAAGCTTATCCATGATCTTGCTTTTACCCTAATCCTATTGGTAATTCTATATAACCCTAACCATATCCCTATTCCTATCTATTCCCCATTTAGGTTTAGGGTCAGTTGGTAATCGGAGGTGGGTAGTGTCCTACTGCAAATATGTGTGCGTTGGGTTGAATAAACAAGTGGGCGGTGAGTGGTGGTTACGTCACGCTTCTGTACTTATCTACCAACTCTGCAGCATTTCTTACCATTTTTATTGCGAATTTCATTTTTCCATCAAGTAGGCTATCTATTGAAATTAGGGGACGGCGTGGACTAGTGGTAGAGCGCTAGATTATGAACATGAAAGTCTCAAGTTCGAATCCGGTTTCAAGTGAGTCGAAGGTCTAAGAGTCCACACAGCCATGATGGGTATCTAGCTCACGTTAGGGAAAGTACAGGCCGCTGGACTTAGTGCTGATCATCTCTTCCTATGTCAAGGTCACAGAAACAGGTGAACGCTACTTTATCTGCCACATAGAACCGTATGTTTGAAAGGGAACTCTACGGATGCTTTGAAAAATGTCTCCTAACATAACTAAATGAAAATAGAAGTGTAATGGTATGACTCACAAACATCCCTTGCATGCATATACACGTGATTTCACACACATTATGTGACAACCCTAACACCAGCTATGTTTTCACATACATTGCATGACAGTCATAACACATGGTAACACAATATATGGCAGCCCTAATACATGTTCGCACCTTATATGACAGCCTTAACACAGGTTCTCACATAATTTACACGCCAGCCCTAACACCAGCTATGTTCTCACATAATTTATACGCCAGCCCTAACAACCAGTCACCACGTCAGTCGAGCTACCGCTGTTATGGCACCACTCTCTGGCTCTGCAGCGGTTCTTATCTTGTTTCTCTACGTATTTAAAGAGCAACCCTACTACCCCGTGATTTCGGCAGTTTCAGGAGCCGTGTCGAGTAAGTAGATTAGCTAGTTGTTTTAAATTTGAAGGTCGTAATATTCGTATGAAGTTGAGTTTTTTACATGTTAATAAACTGTTCCTGGTAATAGTTTTATTTTACTTCGATTGTATGTAAACTGTAATTTCGATTTAGAAGATGCTCGATTAAATGCTATTATAGTAATTCGATTTTTAAAAAAAGTTAATTCAGACCATTTTACGAGCCATAAATGTTAATCTCAAATATTTAAACTACTTTAATTTTCACACAAATACAGCCTAGATTCGTTTTGCGTTTCTATCTGTGCTCTAGTCATTTGATTTGAAGACATTTGATTTTTTAAACGCTATTGTAAAGCTCAACTGTGATACATATAACTATGTTGTTTTGTGTTGCAAGTATGTTGGTCGATGTGTGTCTGATTGTGTGGGCTACATGTAGGGTTCACACATCCGGGCTCTCGACACACTATGGCTCCTCATTCTACTTCAGTTTAGCTGGGGGTGTGTGTTTGCTCACAGGTAGTGTGGGGGTGTTTGCCTTCAAATTTGGACAATGTCGGTTGGGGTATCAGCCTATTGAGGCTTAGTAGCCATAGAAGATAATCTATAGTATTGTATATAGCATCGTCGACATTTCTTCCCGTTCGTGCCCAAGACACATTGGGCACATGAAGTAGAGTTCATCTGTTTCAGAGACCTCTGCATATGACGAGATTGTGCGGTCAAAAATAAGCCCAGCCGCCTTTATTTTCCCTAACATGAGTTAGGTACCCATCAAAGCTTGAAGGACTTTAAAACATTCGAACTCGAGACAGTCAGTTTACCACTAGGCCATGCCGCCCCATATTATATAACTACATAAATAATTGGAGGTTTATAATTTTGTTATTTTGTTATGAGAGGTAATGCGTGTTATAAAGAAAAGTCATAAAACACTATTTTAGTATTTCTGTAATTGTATGGTTGGATAAGTATATTGTTACAATTTCCTCACATGTATATAAACATTTGCATTTCAATATAACAATTAAATCTTTTCAATTTTTTTTTCAATGAAAAAATAAATAAGAAATTGTGGCGTTGCTTGTGATATCTAATATGGGTTTGAGCTTCTATAGATGTTTTATAAATTGTGTTGATCAGTGGAGATGATAAGTAATTTAACAGGAGACGCTCGTTTGGTCTTATTTCGTGTTATAGAATTGGTTGACGATGTCTACACATGCTACGTTGTATTTCTTTCAGTAGTGTTCAGCCTTGAGACAAAGTTGGGCGTGGTGTATTTACAATGATTAAAAGTTTTAAAAAATGAGATAAAAAAAAGACTTGTTTTCCAATTGTTTTCAATGGGTGAATCAAGCAGTGGTAATTATGCATACATTACAGAAGTTTCGGTCATAATTTAGCCGCTTATTAATCTCATATAAAATAGCCTCTATGGGCATTTAAGAGAATTGGAAAACGTGAAAGGGTAACAACATATAGAAATTTAACTCACTTCAAAATTAACTAAACACACACACTCACACACACTCACACACACACACATACACACATATATATATGCATATATATATATATATATATATATATATATATATATATATATATATATATATATATATATATATATATATATATATAACTGTGACCTATATAGAAATCAAAATATCATAGTCTATTAATATCCCCAAAGTGTTAATAACATGTATTGCTTTATTATAGTTTCATCATAGTTTATAGTTTATCATAACTGTTATTGGTTAAATGATTTTTCATACAAAATATATTAATCAGATTTTTTGAAAGCGCATCATTTTTTTATGGTACAGATAATTTAATGTTACGATAACTTTCAATTTAAATAAACCTGTGATGTTTTATTTTTTAGTTTATCATTTTAGCTACAAACGTGTCAGTTAGTTTAAACAAATTTTTACATCGTACGTGCATGATTAAACATGTATAACATTCATACGTACCAACGTATAAGCACACATACACGCTCTCTCTCTCTCTCTCTCTCTCTCTCTCTATATATATATATATATATATATATATATATATATATAGAGAGAGAGAGAGAGAGAGAGAGAGAGAGTGAGTGAGTGAGAGTACAACAGTGCTACACAGTTGTACGCAAGACAGGGGTTTTATTCGTTCCGTAACGTATGTCAAAATGTTTGTATTTCAAAACAATTGTTTCTATTTTATGAAATGCCATGAATTCGTTTGAGCCCTTAATGTGCTACAGCCGCTTCTTTATTTTACGTAGCAATAATAAGAAAAATGTATTTATAACTACCAACTGTTGCATAAAACATAATACATGAGAATGTGAAAAAATTAACTGCTTTTATAAAGTGTATATTCAACGGAAATCAGCTAGGACCCAGCTGTGTAAAACAAGCGGATTAACTAAGTCTCCCCACTATCGTTTTAATATATTTTGTTGTCTCCCCTGTGGCACATCAGTATTTGTAAGTATTCGTAGAGACGCAAACAACTGCAGCGAGCAACGCGTCGTGTTTCAGATAGCCCACACCGTCTCTGACAATGTGTGTGCACCAGCCAATGTACCAATCCCAGTAGCGGCTGTTCAAAGCTTGTTAACAGAACGTTTTTTTTTAATATTGTGTTAATGCAGAAGTTGTGCACAAACAATTCATTTGGTGTTCCCGTTTTGTGTTAAAAACTCAATCTGTAATAAAACAAAGACTTGATTTAATCTGATGCCCATGTAGACGATCACCCATCATAGGTAGGCTCACTAATTAATCTAATGTATGTATGTTTTACGTAATTTCCACTTCACATATAGATACTATTTCATATTGATCTATCTTTTCCAAAACAATTTTAGCTCGGAATGTTATTGTTATATATATATATATATATATATATATATATATATATATATATATATATATATATATATATATATATATATATATATATATAAATATATACATATATATATATATATATATATATATATACTAGCCACCCCCGCGCGTTGCCGCGGGGATAGAAGAAAGTTTGACGAAATATATTAGAAGGAATTCACCAACGCGTGAAATTATATGTTCTTAGACGCGTGACCTTTTTTTCTAAAAATGAGTTATTTAAATGTAAACAATACCTGCGCTTGGATCATAAATATCAGGACACGGGTTTACATACACTACTGCATGAAAACCTTGAGTGTACATTAATCACTCGCCGAAATAATATGGTAGAACACACTTCGGTGACCGCCCCTGTGTCAGAGACGTAGAGGGGCGCTCTCAGGGCCCCCACCCCCCGATTACACTACTGCATAGGCGCGACGTACGACCCCTGGCTCCTTAAAACTAACAGGCGCCATCGGCCAAATAGCATCCCCTTAATAATGATGCAGATTTCGTCATTCGCTAAAATGACACAAATGAATAGGATTTTTTTCTGTAACACGTAAAAAAATTATGTGACGTGTTTTAAATATCAGTGTGACTGATGCAATATGCTAGCGTTACTAATGGTCTATTATTAGATGCTCGATCTCAATTTCTGACTGGATTATCTAATAATAGATGCTTATTGCATCATTCGCAAAGTGACGAAACTCTACAGTAGGCTCCTCCGCATATTCAAAAAGTTATTTTTTCATCTTTCGCAATTGACGAAACTTTACAGAAGGATTTCCTCGCGTTACAAAGTTATTTTTAGAAGCCTGTCGTAGTTTTACCGCTGAATATAGTAGTACCCCTTACTCGCTATGCAGGACGCTCGATTAACGGATGCCAAGTGCCAACATAGTCGCTCTAAAACTCTGGGCGCCAAACCGTGTATTGACGAAAGTTGTACCCTATATGGCGCCGCCTATAAGAAACCTTAGTTTTCTTTTTCGCAGAAATATTCTCGGGAGTATTCTCGTCTACTTCCTAAAGTTTCATGGCACTCGGCGCCGCCCTTGCAATATTAAACAATATTTTTTTGCAGAACCCTACCATTGAGTGATCTAATCATCTCAGTTTCATGGTACAACGATGAACGGTGAGAAACCGAAATAGACTTTAATTTTTATAAACCGTATATAGAGAAAAATCGCAGCCTCCCGTGGCGCCGCCCTTGCGAAATTAAAAAAGGATTTTTTTTACAGAACCCCTTCCCTGAATTGTTCTAATTAACTCCCCCAAAGTCTCATGGCTATCGGATAAAGGTGTCACACCAAAATCGACTTTTTTAATATACCGTATATAGAGGAAAATCGCACCCTCCCGTGGCGCCGCCCTTACGAAATTAAAAAATATTTGTTACAGAACCCTTCCCTAGAGTGTCATAATGAACTCCCCAAAGTCTCATGACTATCGGATGAACGATGTCAAACCAAAATCGACTTTTATTTTTATATACCGTATATTGAGAAAAAGAAATTGCGCCTTGCGGGGGTGCCACCCCGGCAAATTTGATTTTTTTTTCAGCAGAAACATCCCCAGGGATATTTTCAACAAATTACCAAAGTTTCACGGCAATGTGATGAGAGGTTTAGTAATGCACAAAGGACAAACAGACAAACGGACAAACAGACACACACACAAACATACATTGCTTTATATATATATATATATATATATATATATATATATATATATATATATATATATATATATATATATATATATATATATCAATGGATATGGCTTAATGCTATTATGGCTACATCCGTACTAAAAAATATAAATGGTGCTTTTCCTTAGGTCGTTATATTCTCATTCGAACATCTTTCGCGATTTTTTTTTCAAACAACTCGATTTCACTTAAGACATAGCGGTCCATTGGGCGGCTAAAGTAGAGTTTAAATGTTTATTTTCCTCTGCGTATAAAAGGATGGTGTAGTCAGTACTATGCACAGCCAACTTAATGTTCCCCAACTTGAGTCAGGTCCCATCCAAACTCGACACATTCGAGCTAGCTGCCAAACGAGTTTTTCTTGAAACGATAATATATTTTGGAAATGTTGTTTTGTATCTGTAATTCAAGCCCGCTAACTGTCTTAATATATTGCTTTTTATCTATTAGTCTACATTTTCACAGAGAGAAGATCTAAATATGGCTGAACCTGTTCTTTCAAGCAAGGTGTGTTTGCAATTTATTCCACGCGCTTAAATGTGTCTTCCGTTGAAAGATACAGAATATTTAGTAACCACATTATACATATTTTATCAGCCACAATTTATTTTTTAAAACAAAGTTTTTTAAATAAATTATTTGAATACGTCATTCTATTTTTTTATGTATAAACATAACAATAGATACATTTTTTTAATGCATATATTTTAGATATCAAGTGATATTCATCTTCTTCTAGTTGGAAAATCTGGAAATGGTATAACATCCATAGTAAACACAATTTTGTGGAAGAATCCTCCATGTCATTCAACCTTGGATCAGATAACTAAGGAAATAAACACTTACAATGGAATAATTGGTACACAAAAATGTATTGGGAGAAAACTAACTGTCATAGACACTGCTGGCATTTGTGAAACTAAAACAAAAGTTGCAAGAACAAATCTAATTCAGAACATGTCAAAAGCCATGGAAATTAGCCCCAACGGTTTCAATGCAATTGTCATTGTTTTAAAATATGGCAGTAGACTATCAGAGGAAGATAAAACTATATTCCGATTTATAAAATCAATATTTGGTGAACAAGTATACACAAAATATTGTATCTTAGTAATGACCCATGGTGATAATTTCAAATGTCAAAAAGGAAGTTTGAAACTCAGTAATTTTGAAGAATGGATCAGAAACCAAACGGGTACGTTTGAAACGCTTTTACGTGACTGCTGTAATCGAATAATTTTGTTTGACAACTACAGCGAAGACGAAAAAGAAACACTGACTGATCAACTCGTTTTATTAATTGATACGTTAAAGGCAACTCCATATACAATGGGTGATTATCAACGCGCTGCAACATCACGGCTTTCGATTTTAAAAGAGTTGAAAATACCTCGTTGGAGAGAGAAGATTTTTAAATCTAAACAAAGCCTATTTAATGATTTCATAAAAGCTAACCGTCAAGATAATGACAACATAATTTTAGATTTAGAAATAATACATTATTTAGCGAAACAACTGCAAGAAAAATTTACCCAAAAATTAAAGGGCACAGATATCAAATTGGAAGAAATAAAACTTATTGAAGAATTCATAGACAAAATAAGTAAAGATCTACTTAAATACAAAGATAAAAAGCAATGTGATATTGAAAGTGCCAGAAACATTCAGAAGGCGGAAAAAGAAGAAATGGAAACTCGGTTAATCAACCTTCAAGATGAAATTAAAACATTAAAAGCAACCATAACTTTAACTAAAACATCAGAAAAATGTTTGATTGCTGAGTGTACAAAATCGAATGAAGCTGTAAAAATAGGAAAACAAAAAGAAGAAAATCTTTGTCTAGAATTAAAGAAAAAACAAGATGAAATACAAAAACAGCTTAACGAAATTAAAATACTGAAAGAAAAATTAGAAGAAGGAGAAAAAAATATTACGCAAAGTGAAGAGAAACGAAAACAAGCAGAAGAAAAAGTTGAAAAAACTGAAACCTTACTTCGAATAGAGTTAAAACAAACACAAACGCATGTATGTACAATTAATAAGCTTACCGAGCAAATTCAAATTGAAGAACTAAACGTTGAAAATTTAGAGAAAAGGATTGCTCAAGAAAAACAAACGATTTTAGAAAATCAAAATGAGTTAAGTCATTTAAACCAGGAATTGCAACTAAGGCTGAAAGAAATTCAAAGCTTGAACGAAAACATACGTAATAAAGATCATAAAATTATCGAGGCAGAAGAAACACACACCACTGAGAGTCGAAATGCGAAAAAAAAATATAAAGAAATGAAAGAAAAATATAAATCAGATTTAAAAATATCTCAAGAACAAATGGAAAAGGCCAGGGTAAATTACATAGAAGATCTAAAAAAATTGTCACAGCAACACAGAGAAGAGATACCCAGGTCAGAAATAATACCCAATGCTACAATTGAGAGATTGACACAAGAATTGAACAAAGAAATCGATCTCTTACAAAAGACAAAAGAACAAATATCAGGTTTGGGAAAATTGCAAGAAGAAATAAAACTACATAAGGTAAATGAACTCAAATTGGAAAATGAAAACAAACGTTTACAATCGGAAAATGCGCGTTTGCAAAAGGAGGTATATAATACTATTTTTTTTTCAAATATATTGTAGCAGCGTAGCGTATTCTATAGCTTGTAGCATGTAGTGTAGCGTGTTGAGTAGTGTAGTGTACTAGTGCATAGTATTGCGGCTTAATGAGAAGAGTGGTGGGTTGCAGAGTTTTTTCGAGGTATCCCCTCCCCCGAAAATGTCTATCACCCCCCTCCCCCTTCCTGGACGAAATATAATTCATAAATAGAAATTATTTACTTTTTTCAGATTGACAAGTTTCGTCAAAATCGAACTAACAAGCCGAAAGAAGAAAACAAAACCAAAATGGTAATTATTAACGCTCTAAGAACACACAAAAAAATAATAATTTGCATTATCTGATCGTCCTATCTAATCTATCTGATCTCATGTCACTGATTTTATATTTTCAGATCTGGCCAAGAACTGTCTCGTGTCGTATAGTTGTTTCTTCTATGGTCACGTCTGTTCTTGTTGTATGTTATCTCTTCTTAACTCGTCTTTCCTGAGCTGATCTCCTGCGTGTTTTTTGTTCTTTTCTTGATTTGTATAGTCATCGAAAACTATCATTGATATATTATATCATCATATGCCATTGATCTTTTTAAAAAATAATATACCTAATTTGTTTCACTTGTGTTTCATGTCAAACCTACTTTATTAACAGGATAAAGACCAGAACTGTAGTAACATGTAAGACTATGAACTGTTTTACACCATAGCGATTGAGTTCTTATGTCCATCACCTTTTTGGAGAAAGTCGGAGTTTCATCACACGAGCCTTATACAAAGAATGAAGAACTAGTTGTTTCACTCTTTGAGGAATATTTAAAATGGATGCTAGGCTGTGGATGTTTTTATTTTATATTCCTCTATTGGCAATTTTACAGGTTTTACAGATAGGTGATGCAATAATTGACACTTTCCTTGTCGTACGCAAATGACGTAACATATTTGCATAATATGTATCCTAAGTATTAGATAATATAATATAATTTTTATATCATATATTCTAAGAAAATGTATGTATTTATTTAGCCAGATTCGATCCAAACCCTTCATGATTATATGAATACAACAGTAATTGTAGTGTTTTGCACTTCTTAACAGCGTCGTAGAAAGACTCAAAAAGCGTTACATAAAGAAAGATACAATCAAACAGTAATGGCATAGTACACAGCTTGTATAGAGAACGCAATATATACTACCAGCCGACCCGCGGCATATCATATGCCGCTATTTAGTTGTTTTATTTTCTACTTTTCAGTAATTCATAATTTGTGAATTCGACAGTACCAATGCTGCCACTGAAAATATATTTGCTTTAAAACACTACCCCCCCTTTCCCCTAACACCGACCCTACACCCCCCCCCCCCCCCCCCCCCCCGTGAAAGCAGCCTCCTCTTTGTTATTTCTTAGTTACCTCCTGTAAGTATAAAATCGAACTAAGTTATTGCTCCTAATAGAAATTCGGCTCTACGGCTCTACGATTTGTAAACATTTAGCTATGTAAACATTTAGCGTGACCACAGCTCACCAGACAATGTGGGGGTGGGGTGGTAGTGATAGTGATAGAGAGAAAGGGATGGGACTGCAAGGAGGCGCTTGCAGCTTGTTTTCTAACGGCTCCCAGAAGAGAATTATATATATAGACTAGGCATACTGCCTAGCTTCGCTTAGGTTTTCAAAAAAAGTTGAGGAATTGAATAATTAATTAATAGGTGATTGGCTGCTATCTTAAATGCTTATTTTTTTTATTTATTTTTTTAATGAAATTTCTTTTATTAAACTTTGAACAACTGTAGGATTGATAACAAACAATAAAGGCTTTCTTGTGACTAGATTGTCTAAACATATGATCAAGGACATTTTTTTAAAAAAAAAACAGTAATAAAAGAGTGGAATTAAGCAATGTCAGTTGGAAGTTTTCAAAATAAAACTAAATATATAAACATGTTTCACATGAATGATAATTACAGAAATTCTTTCTCAACTACAAATTAAGATGAGTACACATTTTGTGTATTATAAATGATTAATTTTAACGCAAAATACAGGGAACATAAAAGTACAAAATATTTTTAAAACAGAAAAAGTCCACAAAAAATAAAGTGCTTAACAATACTAAAATAACATTTATAAATTACAAAAATTACTATTTTTCAACAGTGAAAGCTTAGGTTAAAGTTTTTTGAAAAAATTAATTTGAACAATCAATTTTTGCCAATGACGGTTTCCAAGATTTTAGCAAAATAATTTATCTTCAATTTTGAACACCACCAGTGAAATAAAACTAACAATTTAATTTTTAAATAAATCAGGAGTGATATACACTTTTTAATAACCAGATTTTAAAATTACTAAACACAGGGCAAAAGAGATATTTTGCACGTTACTATTCTTTGCACTTAGTGTTTACATTTTCTTTATGTAGATACACCATTCTAAGTAAAATTAATTTGTAGCAAGATTTGGAATGTATATTTGTAATTGGTGATTCACATATAAAAGATGAATTTGCATTCCAAATAGTTGATTTTAAAAAAACATATTTTTTGTGTTTTTCTTGCAATTAATTGCAAAATTATTATAAATAGGAACTTCACATTTGCAGATAGATTTGGAATGTTTAATTTGCAATAAGTGATTCATGCATAAAAGATCAATTTACATTATCAAAAAGCCTACCCCTTGTTGACCAAGAAGTAAAAGAATGATCAGGTTTCAACTGATTGCAATATTAATTTTAATGTCATTTTTCCTTCCATTATTAACTAAAAGATGACAGTTTCATATCTTTACTAGAAAAATATAATGAAAGTAAAATAAGACAATTATGGTAGTAGACAAGAGCATTAGTCATGTGAGAGAAAAAATGAAAAACTGTCTAGAGCTATAAAAATAACTGTCAAAAGTTTGCAGAATAGAGCCCATCTATTCAATTAGGAAAACAGCTTACTCTAGTGACATTTACTACAACAATTTGTTTGACAATACACATGTAAATGCTATTAAAAATACCACTGATGGATAATAATTATCAGCAGAAATATTCATTATATGTAAATCACATACCATTCATCAATATTTAAGTTTTGTTTTAGATTCTACATTAATAAACAAACAGTTTAACTTTTTTAACTAAAATAAAAATTCAAATTAGAAAAAAAAAATACAAAATGGCTTGTCCTAATATCAGTGGTACAGTATTTTCATCTGAAGCATCATGGTGAGACATAAATTTATGAGTAATATCCTGGTCACATGAGTAAACTATTTGTACAATGGTTCCATGAAATGCGGGGTCTTCAGATTACAAAATGGCTTGTCCTAATATCAGTGGTACAGTATTTTTATCTGAAGCATCATGGGGAGACATAGGCTCTAATCTAATTGAGTTTCTATTTCTTTAAACGGTTTAGTAAGCCTATTTGTAATGAACGAAATAATAACTTTGAATTAAGTCTAGATCTCGCCAAATAAATTGGTCAACCATGAATCATTGCTTTGTGAAATTAATTGATGTTGTGCGTGCGAAAGAATCAGCAGTGCCAGCGACTCAAACAACTTTGAAAAAAAAAGTTCACTTTAATTAATGATCATATAGATCTGTTAGATCTTGAAACTTTAGAAAGTAAAAAATTTAATTTGCAGGATGCAATAAAAACAGATAAAAAACAGAACTATGAAAATAAAAGACCAAAAAACACAGTTAAAAGAAAAAGGAGGTACAGTTCAGGTAAAGGCAGAAAAAGAAATAAGTCTGAAATTAAAAAATCTCCAGTTCTCCCGTTAAAGCCCCATCAATCAAATAACAGCAGAGCTAAATATGAACTGGACACTAACAAAAATACATGCATGATATTACAACATGGTTCAAATTTACCAACCATGAAAAACTGCTTTGTTTTACTCAAGAACGTTTTTACTGAGTTGAACACTACACATGACCTACCAAACTCTGATATTTCAACAGGATCCTCAGATGTAATAAAAGAAGAAAAACTTAAAAATGAAACTACCAAATCAAGTATGTCTACACCCGCTACGCTTTTGAGTCCAAAAATCAAGGAAAGTTTCCATCCAAAACGTCAACTTACACTAAAACTGTTTAAACTAAACAACACTAATATAAGCAATATCATGGACAAAAAGGAACAAAACATATCTTAAATGCTTAGGGCCTAAATTTATACAGTGGAATAATTTCATGCTACTCAAATTTTGATGGAATATTCGCAAACTTATTACTCGCACGGTTATTAGAACTGCAAGGGATTTCTCAATAGTATCAATCAAATATTATAATAAATTACTTTCGCAATTAATTTTTACAATTTCAGTACAATACAAAACTTAATTTATAAAAATTTTTTATTTAAAACTATGCTATACTCTATGATTTTTGTTTTTTTCTTGAAAAGAGAATACAATTTTTTTAAAATTATTACATTAAAAAGTTACTTCCCCTGTTCATAGACCAAATGACCAAATCTCGTATAATGAGTATTTCACTCGCGGTCACTTTTTAGCCCTCGTCGAGGGCTTTCAGTGAAACCGACAGTTTCCCCTACAGGTCAAGCCATTTACCTAAGAGCATGCAAAAAATTAGCCAGATGTAAAGACGGTAAGTGCCCTCAAATTCGTTTTGAAATCACCCTCTGTTTTTCCCATAAAATACAAAGATTACATAGGGAAATACGACTGGTCAGTTTTGACCCATTTACCGAATTTTCCCGGACATGGCGAGTTTTTTGTGACACCCCAAGGCGTTCTCCTACCACCTCACAAAATTTCAAGGGGGGTCGTCCAGGGAAAAATTTTTTCGTAATAGAGCTAGCTCATATAAAGAGAATTTCACTCGCGGTCACTTTTTAGCCCTCGTCGAGAGCTTTGAGTGAAACCGACAGTTTTCCCTAAAGGTCAAGCCATTTACCTTAGAGCATGAAAAAAAATTAGCCGGATGTAAAGAAGGTAAGTGCCCTCAAATCCGTTTTGAAATCACCCTCTGTTTTTCCCATAAAATACAAAGATTATATTGGGAAATACGACTGATCAGTTTTGACCCATTTACCGAATTTTCCCGGACATGGCGAGTTTTTTGTGACACCCCAAGGCGTTCTCCTACCACCTCACAAAATTTCAAGGGGGGTCGTCCAGGGAAAAATTTTTTCGTAATAGAGCTAGCTCATATAAAGAGAATTTCACTCGCGGTCACTTTTTAGCCCTCGTCGAGAGCTTTGAGTGAAACCGACAGTTTTCCCTAAAGGTCAAGCCATTTACCTTAGAGCATGAAAAAAAATTAGCCGGATGTAAAGAAGGTAAGTGCCCTCAAATCCGTTTTGAAATCACCCTCTGTTTTTCCCATAAAATACAAAGATTATATTGGGAAATACGACTGATCAGTTTTGACCCATTTACCGAATTTTCCCGGACATGGCGAGTTTTTTGTGACACCCCAAGGCGTTCTCCTACCACCTCACAAAATTTCAAGGGGGGTCGTCGTCGGAAATTTTTTTTCGTAATATAGCCCATATAAGGCGCCGGTCAGTCGAGGTCAATTTTGACCCCCTCTCCGTAGACTATTCGGCAAACCGTCACCGGCCTTCGTGTTCCATCGCCCCAAGGCACCATCGTGCCAAATTTGACGCGCCTGCGGCGCCGGGAAGTGCCCTATCGGGCACTTGACCACTTTGCTTTATATATATAGATACTAGCGTACCCGTACCCGCGCATTGTCGCGGGGATATACGAAAGTCTGATATAATATATAAGAAGGTTTTCATCAATGCGTTACCAATCCTATATTTTAAGACGCGTGACCTTCTTTTCTAAAACTGAGTTATTTAAATGTAAACAATGCATAGGCTTGGGTCTTAAATATAGGGACACGGGTTTACCTACAATACCAACACTACCGTATGAAAACCTTACGTTAACCACTCACCAAAATAATGAAGTAGAACACACTTCGGTGACCGTCCATGTGTCAGGGACGTAGAGTTGCGCTCTCGGGAGCCCTTGAATGCACTAACTCAGAGGCGCCGCGTACAACCCCTGGGTACACCTAACATAGGCGCCATAGTGCACACGTATTAACCCAGAGCGCCAAATAGCATCCGAAAACAATGATGCAGATTGAATCAAAAATCAACAGGATGTTTTCTTTAACACGTAAAAAAACAAATATTTGACGTGTTATAAACGTCAGTGTGGCTGATGCAATTTGTTAGCGTTACTAATGGTGTATTATTAGAAGCTCGATCGCAATTTCTGATTGGATCGTTTAAAAATAGATGCA